TCAGCTCATTTTTTCCCCTTCCTCCCCAGTCACCCCTCCCTCATGAACCCCTGATCATTTATAAATTATTATTTTGTCATATATTGCACTGTCCGACGTCTCCCTTCACCCACTTTTCTATTGTCTGTCCCCCAGGGAGGAGGTTATATGTAGAACCCTGTAATCGGTTCCCCCTTTCCAACCCACCCTCCCTCCAGCCTCCCAGTATCGCCACTCACACCACTGTTCCTGAAGGGATCATCTGCCCTGGATTCCCTGTGTTTCCAGTTCCAATCTGTACCAGTGTACATCCTCTGGTATAGCCAGATTTGTAAGGTAGAATTGGGATCATGATAGTGAGGGGGGTGGGGGGTAGAAGAGGAAGCATTTAGGAACTAGAGGAAAGTTGTACGTTTCATCGTTGCTACATCGCACCTTGACTGGCTCATTTCCTCCCTGAGACCCTTCTGTAAGGGGATGTCCACTGGCCTACAGGCTTTGGGAATTCCTAAGACAATGCTTACTATAATCAAATAACAGTATGTGCAATTTGATGACTTGTTTATTGTGTGCCAAGCACCACCTTAAGTTCTTTGTTGACTGATTGACATATTTAATCTCTATGACAACTCTTTGAGGTAGACTGGAACCTCTCCACCAGGAGCATTTATTAACCTAAAATAATATCAGATGAAGTTAATTAAGCAACTTGTTTTGCATCGTGGTGTGAGATAAACCTCCTTCCTTATCATGGTATGATTTAAACCAGCAGTTCTCAACCTGTGGGTCACGACCCCTTTGGAGGTCAAATCACCCTTTCACAGGCATCACCCAATTCGTAACAGCCAACTTGCAGGGATGAAGTAGCAACAAAAATAATGTTATGGTTGGGAGGTTACCGCAACATGAGGAACTGTGTGAAAGGGTCTTGGCATGAGGAAGGTTGAGAACCACTGAGTTAAACCATCACTGTTGTCTTGTAATTCTGTTGTAACCTGGAGCTATGACATGTTCAGGCTTGAACATTACAAATATGAATTATATATCAATGGGGTTTTACGTCTCCTTATGGTATTTGCAGACAGTTCAGAGCTATGAGCCTGATACTGAGATGCTGAGTGTAGTTTTGGGGGAAGGAGTTTGGGACTCCACCCCTGCTGCTCGGAGTGTGAGCTGCCTGTGAACTGCTCGCTGCAATACAAAGGTTGAAGCCTAGTTTTACTTAAAAAAAAAACCAAAAACCAAAAACACAGCAAAAGTTCTCTGCGAATCTTTCTCTTTTTTAAAGTTATTTTCTCAATGAAATTGGTAATGGTATGATCATTTTCCTCATCTTTCTTAGTTGACCAAGTCACCCATTTTTTTCTCAATCTAGCCATTTCTCCATGCCATATGAAAATGGGGCTCATCCTTCATTCATTCATTCGCTTATTTTATTCCTTCCTCTTCAAATTTCTATCAGCAAAAATAGATAGGTCTTTCATAATGTAGGCCTTTCCCAAGAATGAATGTAGCTCTCGTCAAAGCCAAGTGGCATAAAGCAAACCTTCAAAACGTGGGGGATCCCTGAACTTTAAGAGTTATGGCGGCGATGAAGTGGGAACGTGGCTGGAAGGTGGTTGGTGTGGTGTTGGGCACGTCGTTGGTGCTCAGTGTCACGGCTAGTGTGGTCCGTTCTATTGTCATCATTTGGAATAGTGAGTCTCTCCCGAAGCTAACTTGTGGAGCACAGGTCCCGAGACGGTGCTGCTGCACACTCGAGCACGCAGTCTGTGTCCAGGGGAATTGGAGGATGGGGATGGCTGGGGGCGGGGCGCCATGAGGAGGGGACGGCTGGGGGCGGGGCGCCATGAGGAGGGGACGGCTGGGGGCCGGGCACCATGAGGATGGGGATGGCTGGGGGCAAAACAAGTCTGGCCTTGGGTGCCATAAAGAGTCTGGATGGCAAAACAGCCTTTCAGTCCGTGCTTTTGGGGGTTGTTTTTTCTCCTCCTTCAGGTTGAAGTTTAAGCTCAACAAAGACATAGCGATGACTGTTGGCATTTATAATCTGGTCCAGAAGGCATTCAAGCCTCCCCCCGTGAGGCTTTACCGGGAAACCAACGAGCCTGTGAAAACCAAGACCCGGACATTTAACGTGAACGACGGCAGTTTGCTTCTGCCCAGCGACACCAAGCGCTCCCAGGTAGATATGCCTCCTTCCTGAATGTGTATCCCATTGACAAGCTACCACGGAGCGGAGCCCGATAGGTCTCATCAAATCAAACACAAAACTCACCACCATCGAGTCAGTTCTGACTCGTGGCCACCCCTGTGGGTTTCCAAGACTGTAATTTATTGTAGGAGTGAAAAGCCTCAACTTTCTCTCTGGGAGAGGTTGGTGGTTTCAGACTGCTGACCTGGTGGTTGGCGTGACTGCGACACCACAAGGAGGGATTTTCCCCTGTGCGTCTTCCTCCCCAAGCTGTGGAAACCAAGTCCTTGTCTCTGCAGCCATGTCATCTAGATCGGCGGCTTTTCTCCCACTCTCCTGTTGTTTGGTTTTTACTTACTGTAAATTTACCTAGGATGGAGCCTGTGTTGCCTAAATTCAAGCATTAAAAATAGTAGTGTTCCATGTGTTTCTAGTGAAGGTTTATGCAGAAGTTTGGGTTTCCATTCAACAATTTCGACACAAGTTGTTCAGTGATATCGGTTCCCCTTCAGAAAGCGCGCCCATCCTTGTTTTTGTTCTGCTTGCGCTGTTTCCATGAGCCCAGTTTCCCTGGCCCCTTACGTGCTTTAGCTTTATTTTCAAGTAATTGTTGACATTTGACC